CCGTGTCCTTCCATCCATCCGTGTCCATCCATCCATCCGTGTCCATCCATCCCATGTCTGCTCATCCTGTCCATGTCCATCCATCCCATGTCCATCCATCCCTTGTCCATCTATCCCACCCATGTCCACCCATCCAGTGTCCATCCATCCCATCTGTGTCCATCCCATATCCACCCATCCTATCCATGTCCACTCATCCCACACCCCATGTCCATCCAGCACGTCTATGTCCCTCCATCCTGTGTCGATCCATCCCGTGTCCATCCATCCCATGTCCATCCATCCACCCATCCATGTCCATCCATCCCTTGCCTGTTGCCCCTATGCTCTCTGGAGGGCACTGGAGGGTGGTGGGATCCCACACTCCCCCATCCCACATTCTCCAGGAGGTGCACCAGGATGGAGATTGGTCCCATGCCCACCCATCCTATATCCATCCATCATTGTTTTCCAGGAGGGGTGCTGAGATGGAGATTCCCACACCTGTGTGTCCTGTATTTCCAATGGAGGACACCAGGAATGACACAGATCACACCCACTCATCCCAAGCTCTCCAGGAGAACACCAAGACACAAAAGCGGCCCCACATTCCCCACTCCCCCACCCTTTGGGTGGAGCCGGGGTCCCACACGGCTCCGGGGGGCAGAGGGATGGATCCCACTCCCATCCCGCGGCACCAGGGCGGGATGGGGACAGGATCCTCCACCTGCCTTGGGAGCCGCAGCCCCCTGAGGGACCCCCGAGCCGCCGGGGCCCCTCCCGCTTCCCGGCAGCTCCGGCTCCTTTAAGAGCAGCACGGCCGGAGCCCAATTTAGCCGACGGCCGCCTGTCCCCGCTGGCTCCCGGCCAGGGCTCGGCCTCGGCCGCGGCCAGATCCCGCTCCAGCGCCCGCCCCGGGGCTGGGGGGGCCGGGGGCACCCGGGGGGACCGCTGCCACCTTTGGGTGCTGAGCCCCGTGGCCTCAGGTCCCTGATGGCTCCGTCACCCTGGAGGTGAAGGCACACGGAGCCAGGAGCAGGCTGGGGACAGCCAAGGATGTCCCCACGAGGCCCGGGGACCTGTCATGCCAAATGATCATGGGGACACCACAATGAGATGTCCCTTGTCACCTCCCTGCTCCCCATCACCTCCCTCTGCCACCCCCCATGACACTGCTGGGGACCGGGACAAGAGGGGACAGTGGAAGGGGAAGGGACAGGGGAGATGGACCCCATTGTCACCTGGGGCTGAGAATGGGACAGTCCAGGGACAGGGGAGCCTGGGGGCCATGGGGACAGAGCTGAGTGGGGGACAGGGTGGGTCCCTGGGGACACGGGACAAGACAATCCCAGGAGACAGGGTCCCTGGGGCATGAAGGACAGGACAGACAAGGGCACAGGGGCCCTGGGGGATGAGGGACAGGACAGCCCACGGATATGGGGACAGGAGAGCTCGTGGCCAGGGCAGCCCATGGTCCAGAGGATAGGAAAGCCAGTGGCAAGCAACAGGAGTGACTATGGACTGTGGGACAGGAGCACTGGAACAACCAGCGCTTGGGACACACCACAATCCATCCTTCTCCCAGTAAGACCAGTTCCTTCTCTAGCACTCCCTTCCCTGCACTGGTTTCACCCCGGGGCTGCCTCTGTGCTGGGACCAGCACCCCACGGCTGACCCGACCGTGGCTGCTCCTGGGGTCCCCCCTGTCCCCGTCCGCACCAGCACGAGCCCCGCGGGCACTGGTGGCACTGGTGTGATGAGTTGAGGGTGCTCTGGGGCCGGGCGGCGGCGTTTGCGCGTTAATTGACCCCCGCGGCTCTGGCAGCTGTGAAAACAGAGCGGGGCTCATTAGGGGACATCAAAGGACCCCCAGCACGGCCGGGCGGGGACACGGCCCCACCCGCCACCGGCGTTTGCTGCCTCTTCACTTGGATTGAAAAGGGAGGAGGAGGGTGGGAATCAGCAGGCTGGGAGGACTGGGGACAGCCCTGAGCAGAGAGGAGGTCCCTGTCCCTTGTTCCCTGTCCCCTCTCCCCTCTCCTTGGGGTTAGTGGGACCTGGGGGACCCGTTCTCTGGGTGACCTGTCCCCAGGGTGACTTGGACAGGGCTGATCCATCCCCAGGGTTAGTTGGGTTTGGGATGATCTCTCCCCAGGGGTGACTTGTTCCCGGGGTGACCCATCCTTAGGGTCACCCATTCCCAGGGTGACCTGTCCCCAGGGTTAGTTGTCCCTGGGGTGACTCATTCCCAGAGGGATCCATCCTTGGGGTGACCTGTCCCTGGCGTTTGCCTGATCCAGGGTGCCCCATCCCTGGGGTGACAGACCAGGAGATGGAGGGGACATGCACCAACTGCTGCTTGCAGACACCCTCCAGCGCCTCCCTGCTTGGGCTTCAAACAGCCCCAAGAGCCAAAAACCTCCAAAACCCCCTCAGAAATTTGGAAAAGGCCACATGGCACAGGATCCGGCCCAATTCCAACTCCAATTCCAGCTCCACTGCAGGATCCTGTGGGGCCCAGATGGGGGGACAGGGACCCCCAGTGGGTCCCAGCAGTGCCCATGGGGTGCCCTGAGAGCCCTCAGCACCCCCAGGGCTCAGGAGCAGTCCCAGATCCCAGCTCTGTTTTCCAAAGTCGGGACATCCAAGCCTTTTAAAAAAAACCCTCCTCTCCCAGCTCCTGCATTCCTGGGTGGAGAGTTTACATTCCCCCTGTCCCCCGTGATCCCGATCCGCGCTTCGCCTCCGGAAAACAAAGTGGCCTTGGGTGGGAGCTGCTTTTTGGGGAGCAGGACCTTCCAGCTGGATAAGAGACCCCCATGGGCAGCACCCCAAAGCCAAAGCACCCAGTGCCAGGCTGGATACAGCCCAGGACCCCCATGGCAAGGGGGACCCCCCTGAGGTGGCACCCCAAGGGCAGGGATTGAGGGGTGCAGGGGGGTCCCCCGTCCCCTTGGCTGAGGCTGGTCCTGCCCATGGCACCACCAGCACAAAGACAGCAAAAATCACCCCATTTTAATTCCCTTTCCAGAGGCTCCGAAGAAGGGAGGGAGGGGGAGGGTGACAGGGGTGGCTGGGGTGTCCTGGGGGTGTCAAGGGGGTGCTGATGGGGGTCCCGAGCAGCCCAGCCCGACCCTTAAATTGCTTCTCCAAACCACAGAGGAGGGGGAAAAAAAGCCCTGGATAAGTTTCTCCCCCTCTTCTCTCCCCCTTCCAAGTCATCGCTGGAAAATTAAACCGGATCCAAAGAGTTTTTCCTTTCCAAAATGTGCTGGAGAGGCACTGCCTTAACCCCTTCGGCTCCTTCCTCGCCCACACCGCAGGACTGGGATGTTTCAGGGGGTTTTGGGATTGTCCCGGGGCTTTGCTGGGGGAAGGGGAACAGCACAATCCCCCTGCGATCCCTCTTTGTGCTCCAGGGATCCCCAAACCCTCTGGAATGCTGGAGGTGAGAAGCACTGAGGCTCCCCGGGGCCAGTTTTGGGGCACCCCCGGGGCCAGTGCTTCCCGGCCAGGTCTCCCTCTCCATTTTGGGAAGAGTATTTTTTTTCATTCCAACTAAATCCAGCTGATTAAATCCATCCTTTCCCCCCCCCAGCTCCCCGCCTGGAGCTTGTCCCTCTCCAGCCAAAAATCCCAATGTCCCCCCTCCAGCATCCCCCAAATCCTGACAAACCAAGCTGGAGTTGGGACCTGCTTCTCTCCGGAGCCTCGGGATTGGGGACCCACCCCAGCCAAACCCCTAATCCCAGAGAAAATGTGAGCTATTTCCTCCAGGAGGGGGGCACAGGAGAGGCCCCCCCTCCCACTGCAAACCGAAAATTCCTTATTTTTTTGGGTTAAAAAGCTCCTTTTTCCCTTGCAAGGCGCTTTGTTCCAGCTGGAGGGAGGTGCTGGCTCATCCCCACGGGGCGATGGAACTGGGGGGCCCCACAGCATCCATAGGGACCCCTCTCAGTCCCCCAATTTAATCCTTAGGGTTGTTTTGGGGGAAAAAAAAAAAACCCCAACAAAACAAAGCCCTCAGAAATAATCTGGTGGTTTTTTTGACTCGTTTGTATTTGGGAAGGATTGTTCAAAAAGGAATTTGGGAGGAAAACTCATCGGCCAAGTTGGGGGGGGGCCCAGGAGGAGCCCCCGGGGGGAGCAGCCCCGGCCCAGGGTCTCGTGGGAGTGAACAAAGGGGTGGGGAAAGAAAAATCCACTTTTTTTGGGAGTTTCGAAAGGAGAGCGAGAAAAATGGGCTTTTTATTGGGGTTTTTTGCCTTTTTTTCCCCCTTTTTTTTTTTCCAGGGGCCGCTGGAGCAGCAGCCAGGGGGAGCTGGGATGGAGTGGGAAGGGGGGAGCAGGGGGCTGAGGGTCCTCTCCAGGCTCGGCAGCGTTTTTTCCCTTTTTCTCCTCTTTTTTCTCCTTTTACCCACCTCTTTTAAATTTTTTCCCCAGTTCCTTTTTCTCCCTTTTTTTCTCCTTTTTCTCCCTTTTCTCCTCTCCTTTTTTTCACTCATTTTCCTCTTTTTCCTTCTCCTTTTCTATCTTTTTTTTCTTATATCTCCTTTCCTGTTTTTCCTCCCTTTTTTCCTTCTTTCCTCCCTTTTCTCCAATTTTCCTCCCTTTTCTCCCTCTTTTTCCTTTTTTCTCCCTTTACACCTTTTCCTCCCCCTTTTCCTGCCTATTTTTCCCTCCTTTTATCTTTTTTCCTTTTTTTCTTCCTTTCCTTCTTTTTTCTTCCCTTTCTCTTCTCTTTTCTACTATTCTACTTTTCTGCTATTCTCCCTTTTTTCTCCTCTTTCTTCCCCTTTTTTTCTTCCTGTCCTCCTCATTTACCCCTTTTCTCGCCCCTTCCTTTTCCTCCCTTTCCTGCTTCCCCCCCCTTTTTCTCCTATTTCCCCCTCCCTTTTCTCCTCTTTCCTCCCCTCCATTTCCAAATTTTAAATAGAAATATATATAATTAAATTTACAAATGCTATTTACAGGTTTAATTACAAAAAAAAAAAAAAATCAAAGAGAAAGAGAGACACCCCTTAGACGTTAATAAATCTAAAAATAAAAAATATATAATAATCCCCCCCTCCAAAAAAACCCCAAATTTCAGGCCGAATGGCGGCGGGGCCGGGGGGGTCACACCGTGGTCTCGCCCTGCTTGCTGTTGGTGAGCCGGGTGTAGAACTTCCTCCAGGAGTGCAGGGTTTTTCCTGACCATATCCAGAACCCGGAGGTGATGCCCACGATCAGAGTCATGAGATACTTGATCATGTAGACGGTGAAGTCGGGGGTCATGCGGGGGGTGAAGTGCAGCGGGCAGGGGATGGCCAAGCTCTTGCAGTTCTGGCTGATCCAGCTGCGCTCCCAGTGCTCCCGGAACGCCTGCTCGTAGAAGTAGCAGGCGATGACGATGGTGGCCGGGACGGTGTAGAGGACGCTGAAGACCCCGATGCGAACCATGAGCCGCTCCAGCTTCTCCGTCTTGGTCCCGCCGTGTTTCATGATGGTGCGGATGCGGAAGAGGGACACGAAGCCGGCCAGGAGGAAGGAGGTGCCGATGAAGAGGTAGACGAAGAGCGGGGCCAGCACGAAGCCCCGCAGAGGGTCGATGTTGTTGAGGCCCACGAAGCAGACGCCGCTCAGCAGGTCCCCGTCGATCTGCCCCATGGCCAGGATGGTGATGGTCTTGACGGCCGGCACGGCCCAGGCGGCCAAATGGAAGTACTGGGAGTTGGCCTCGATGGCCTCGTGGCCCCACTTCATGCCGGCGGCCAGGAACCAGGTCAGGGAGAGGATGACCCACCAGATCGAGCTGGCCATGCTGAAGAAGTAGAGCATCATGAAGAGGATGGTGCAGCCCTCCTTCTTGGTGCCCTGCACCACCGTGCGGTACCCGTCCTCCTGGAAGCGCTCGTTGCAGACCACCCTCTCCTCCAGCACGAAGCCGGCGATGTAGGCCACCGACACCATGGTGTAGCACCCCGAGAGGAAGATGATGGGCCGCTCGGGGTAGCGGAAGCGCTGCATGTCCACCAGGTAGGTGGTGACGGTGAAGAAGGTGGAGGCGCAGCACAGGACGGACCAGATGAGGATCCAGATGCGGGCGAAGCGGATCTCGTCCTCGTTGAAGAACATGTGGCCGTCGGGCCGGGCGGGCTCGCAGGGCGCCGCGCAGTCCTTCTCCCCCAGGAACTTGTAGTTGAGGTAGCTGGGCACCTTCAGCGCCCGCGGGCAGTGGAAGGGGTGGTCGAGGGTGGCGTAGCGGGGGGCGCCGGGGGTGCCCTGGCCGGCCAGCGGCGTGGCACTGGTGAGCAGCGCCGGCGAGCCGCCGTCCTCCGAGTGGTTCTGCCCCACGCAGATCTGCTCGGCGCCGTGCCGGGGGAAGTTCTCGCAGCGCAGCCGCTCCGGCCACTGGAAGCCGAACTTGTTCATGAGGGCCTCGCAGCCCTGGCGCGCCCGCTCGCAGATGGAGCGGCACGGCGGGATGGCCTGCTCCAGCACCGTGCACACCGGGGCGTACATGGAGCACAGGAAGAACTTCAGCTCCAGGGAGCACTGCACCTTCACCAGAGGGTAGAACTGGTGGACCTCCAGCCCCGCGTCCTCCTGGTTGGTGTGGCCCAGCAGGTTGGGCATGATGGTCTGGTTGTAGGCGATGTCGGTGCAGAGCGGGATGGAGATGGGCTGGCAGAAGCCGTGGTCGGGGATGGAGATGCCCTTCTCGCCGTGCAGCTGGGCCCGGCCCGGCGCCGGCACACTCAGCCCCGCCAGCAGCCAGGCCAGGGTGGGCAGCACGCCGGGGGGGGCCATGGTGGTGCCCCGAGTCCCTGCGCCCCGAATTACTGTGCCCGGTGCCCAGCCGGACGGACCGTCCTCCCGTCCGGGTGTGCCGTGCCCGGGGCTGCCTGGACGGCTCCCGGTGATCAGCTCTGCCCTGCCCGGTGCCGCCTGGATGACTCCCGGTGTCCGAATCCGCCGCGTCCAGACGGCTCCCGGTGCTCAGCTCCGCCGTGCCCGCCGCTGGCTGGACGGCTCCCGGTGACTGGACACTCTCAGCTCCCGCCGGGATGACTCCCGGTGACGGGACCCGCCGTGCCCGGTGCTGCCCGGACGGCTCCCGGTTCCCGCTGCCCGCCTGCCCCGGGTTCCCGGCGGGACGGCTCCCGATCTACCGCTGCGTCTGCTCGGACTTGGCGCTCCCGGTGCTCGTCCCAGACACTCCCGCTGTTCGTCCCAGTCACTCCCGGTGCTCCGCGGCGCTGCTCCCGCTGCCCGGACTCGGCGCTCCCGGAGCCGCGGGCGAGCGGCGGGTCGGGGAGAGGGGATGGCGGGGGGTTGCCGGGCGGTCCCGGGGGGTTGCCGGGCGGTCCCGGGGGGGTCCCGGGGGGTGCCCGGGGCGCGGGGAGCGGAGCGGCCGCACCGGACGCTCCCGCCGCCTTTGTGAGGGGCAGCGCCGCGTCCCCGCGGGGCGGGGCCAACCCCCCGAGCCCCGCCCCCGGCCGGCCCCGCCCCGCAACCTAAGCCAATCACATTCAAACCTGGCGGTGGCCACGCCCCCCGCCCCCCCGGCCACGCCCCCTCCCGTCCCGGGGGTCACCGGGCCCCCCCGGCCCGAAAAGTTTTTCCGAGTCGGGAAAAGTTCCCCCCCCGCGCCGGGGTGGGGTCGGGCCGGGGCCGCGATGAGAGGGTGCTCCCGTGTCCCCTGACGCCGCCTTGTGCCCTGTGCCTCTCGTGTCCCCTGCCCTCCACCTTCCGTGACACCCCCCCGTGTCTTCTGGCACCCCTCCCCCCGTGGCCCCTGTGTCTCCCCACCCGTGTTCCCCGAGCCTTTCGTATTCCCTGCCCCTCGAATCTTCCTCACCCCGCCATGTCTTCTGCACTCTCCCTTGTCCCCTGTGCCTCTCCTGTCCCCTGCCACCCTGTCCCCAGCCCCAGTGTGGCCTCTGCCCCTCCGTGTCCCTTACACGCCCCCTCTGTGTCCCCTGACACTCCCCGTGTCCCCTCTGCCCCCTCCAGTGCCCCCCGCCCCCCGTGTCTTCTACACCCTGCATGTTCCCTCTTCCCTACTGTGTCCTCTGTCCCCCTCATGTCCCCTGTGCCCCTCCTGTCTCTTCTTCTCCCTGCCGTGTCCCCGGACGTGCCCCATGTCCTCTGCAACCCCCCATTGTCCCCTGCGTCCCCCCTGTGTACCCTACCACCCCCCCCGGGGTTCTCTGCACCCCTCTGTGTCCCCTGTGCCCCCCTGGTGTCCTCTGCACTTCCCATGTCCCCTGACTCCCTGCTCCATGTCTCCCCCCACCCACGTGGCTGCTCCCCCCCAGCCCAGGACCCACATCCCCCTGACGTATTCTGGGGGGTCCCCCACTGTCCCCTGGTCCCACTTTGGGGTGCAGTGGGGCAGGATTAGCCCCCTTGTCCCCCTGAAGCCCCCCCAAAAGCAGGGGTGCCTTGGCCCCAACACTCCTTGTCCCCTGGTGTCACCCAGGTGGTGCCACCACCCCGTAGGGTGCCCATGGCCACTCTGGGGTGCTGCACCCCCACAGGGCCACTGCACAGTCAGGGATGTCCCCAAATCAGCCAGGGTGGCGGGGGACATCCCCCATCCTGCCCCCCGTACCGGCCCCACAGCTCCCACCCCAACCAGGGCCGTGGTGAAGGGAACTTCTGTCCCCAAAAACAGGGCAGGGGGAGAGAGCCGTGGGGCTGAGATGCACTGGGAGGGGCTGGGACACATTTGGGGGCACTGGGACGCACTGGGTGGAACTGGGACACACTTGGGGGCACTGGGACATACCAGAGGGGGACAGGAATATGCAGGGGGGAACCAGGACACACTGGGGGGATCTGGGACACGCTGGGGGGATCTGGGACATGCTGGGGGATCCAGGACATGCTGGGGGGATCCAAGACTCACTGAGAGGGACCAGGACACATCGGGGGGTCAAGCACACACTGGGGGGCACTGGGACACACTGAGGGAACTGAGACACACTGGGAGAGACTGGAACACAACGGAGACCCTCATCGGGGAAAGAAACTGCGGGCAATCACCCAAAATTTCGGCAGCAGGATGGGGGGCTGCCCTTCCCAAGGCAGGGGCAGTCGGGAGGGTTGTGGTGGGCAGCCCCCCACCCCCGTCCCGCTCCGTTCTGGGGGGGCTTCTGGCTGCCCCCTTCCCTCCCTCCCTCCGCGTCCTCCCTCCCTTTCTCTCCCTTTCCTGTAACTTAAGCTTTTGTTGTGAGCAGGAGACCCGGGCTGCCGTGAAAAGAGGGGGCCCCACCGCCTTTCAGAGCGTAATTGAAACCATTGCGGCTCCTGGCCGAGGGGGAAGGGCAGGGGGGGCTCCAAAATCAAAGCCTGGGGGGGCGCAGGGGGGGAGGACGGAACACACGATGCTCCCGGCCCCCCTCCCCGTCGGGACGTGCCGGGTGTCACCGCGGCGGGGGCGGGACACGGGGGGCTCCCCGCGCCCGGGGGGGGGTCGGGGCTGGCGGAGGGTCCGCGTGGCCCCGGCGAGGCCGGGATGGGGTGGGGTGGGTGGGTTTGGGGTGGAAACCAGGGCCGGGGGTGACTCCGGGGTGCTGCCTTTGGGGTTCCCGGGAGGGTGCTGGGCGAGTGCCCGGGGGTCCCGGGCGGGGGGGGGCTGCAGGGAAGGGCCTGGCACGGTGCCGGCGGCGGGGGCTGAGCCCGGAGCCCGGCCAGCACTGCCTCCTGGCCCCATCCCACTCCCAATCCTGCTCCCAGTCCCACTCCCAATCCTGCTCTTTTGCTGCTCCCCCGGCTGCTCCAGCCACAGCTCCCCTCGGCCCCGTGGGTGCAGAGTCCAGCTTGGGTGACCCCACCGTGTCCCCAGGCCCACCAAGGATGGGGACAGAGGGGAGCAGGGGTGTCTGAGCAGCCACGCCGATTTGGCTTCCTAAAAGCTCCGGATTTTGGCTTCTTTTCACAGGGAAAGGGCCCTTCTCATGTCCCCCCCCCCCCCCCCCCCCCCCCCCGTGTCCCCTGCCACCCGTGTCCCCTGCCACCCGTGTCCCTTGCCCCCACCACATCCCCAGTGCCTCTTGTGTCCCTTCCCCAGGGGGGTGGTAGGGGCTGTCCCCATGCTCCCTGTCCCAGTGGGTGCTGGTGGCTCAGGAGAGGGGGCCCCAGAACCCACGAATGGTCCCACCCAGAGTGGGTGCTGAGCTCTCCTGAGGAAGGGGAAACCTGGAGCAGATCCTCCAGCCAGCCCTGAAAGGACCCCCTGGGTGGGCTGAGGGTGTCAGGGGACATCCCAGAGAGGCAGCCAGAGGGCTCCTGCCTGCTCAGGGGTGTCCCCTCACAGGGACATTCAGGGTGGCTCAGGGAATCCTTTGAGTCCCACTTGTCCCACCAGGCTCCCAGCCCCGTTCCTGAGTCCTGCCAGGGCTGTGTCGGGTGGCAGAGTCCTGCCTCCTCCCCAAAAGATTCCCTGGGGGTCTGGGGTTAATGTCCTGGCTGGGGGGAACCTGTGAGGACAAGGACCCACCCTGGCACCCAGCAGGCCAGACTGGGCTGTACTGGGAGTATGGGGCCAAACCTCATAGCTCCCCCCCAGCTCCCCATCCCAAGGGCACTTAGGGGGTCCTCCCTGCACCCATCAGGGCCAGGGATGGGTGACACAGTTGTGAACCCCCAGGTCCATACCTTGGACCCCCTGAAAGCGCCCTCAGCCCAGCCACAGGCTGGTGTCCCCTCTCTGAGCCTCCTCCCCAGGAACAGGCACCATGGGGGGAACCCTGGGGGTGGCACCATGGCTGGCACTGGCCCCATGCACAGCCCCATGTGTGGGCTGGTGGCCAGCACTGATCCCGAGGGCAATATTTTGGGGGGGCACTGGCAGCACCACCTCACACCACGTGTCCCTTGGGGTGGCACAGAGGAGGGCGAAGCAGGGAGGAGCTGTGACAGGCGGGCTGGGGACCCCGGGGGTCCCCCAGGAGCGCAGAGGAGGGAAAGGGCCCCCGGCCCTGCCCTCGGCTTTGTTTCACACTTAAGAACCTCTAATTAAAACCAGGCACAAAGGCTCTGGCTGGCGGCGGGCGCGAGGTGCCAGCGGGGACAGTGGTCTGTCACCAAGGGAACAGGGAGGGGACACAGGGTCCCTGGCACAGGTCCTCCTGCACCCCGGGGTGTGAGCAGGCACACATGTGCACACACATGCACACACACACGTGAACACACAGTGCCCACAGGAGGGGTGACGTGTGGGGACATGGCAGCAGGGCTGGGGGGTTGGGGGTGCTGAGGGGATCACAGTGTTGGGGACTCTGTGTGTGTGACAGCTCTGCTGGCACCTGGGGGGGTGGTTGTGTGTCTGCACCCCTGTGCCCAGCTGAGCTGCACACACGCTGTGCTGTGGGTTAGGGAGGGCAGGAACCAGTGCTCAGGCCTGGTTTGTACTGGTCTAAACTGGTCTAATGGTCTGCAGTGGTTCCATGGGGTGGGAGGGGTCTGTGATCAGCACTGGTCAGGTGGGATGGGGCTGCCAGCTGAGTCCTGGGGTACCCGTGGGGTGAGTTGGGGGCAGAGCTGCTCCCTGGGGTACCATGGGGTACCCACTGCTACCACCAAGCTCCGGGGTAGTAGTGGGGTGAACTGAGCCCTGGGGTACCTGTGGGGTGGAGTGTGGGGTGCCCTCAGCCCCAGGGTACCAAGCCAGGCCCTCAGGTACCCCTGGGGCGGGCTGTGGGGTGAGTTGAGCCCTGGGGCACCCCCGGGTGGGCCATGGGGTGCCTGAGCCCCGGGGCAGCCTGGCAGGCAGTGGACACAGCGTTAGGCAAGCCCTGGTACCCAGAGGGTCCCGGGGGGACTGGTGGGCAACCCTAAAAGCAGCTGTGAGGAGCTGGGGGGACGAGCCCCCACCACAAACGGGTCCGACCGACCGGATCCCAGGGGGTGGCACGTCCCCGGTGCCACGTGGTCCCCCCAGACCCGCTCCCGGTGCCGGCGGGGCACAGAGCCCACCGAGGCGGGCGCGGGGGAAACCGGCTTAAGCACACCTTGACCTTGCTGGCAGGGGAGGGATCCCCTCGGCTTGTCCGACACATCCCCCGCCAGCGCTGGCATTGAGAGCGCGCGAGCCCGCGCGAGGAGGGGCCGGCTTGAAAAGGCAGCTTAGGCATCTCCTGCTGCGAGAGATGGATTAGGGGCTTCGGGGAGGCCGGGGGACGGCACAGCCACCGCCGGGATATTGTTTGAACCCTTCCAGGGATGGGGCAGCCACAGCTTCTCTGGGCAACCGGTGCCAGGGCCTCCCTGCCCTCACAGGGGAGGGTTTCT